CAATCTTCATTTTTGATAATTTGTCTGACAATTCTTTATTCTTTCCTTTTATTTCATTAAACTGAGAGTTGAATTCACTCAATTCTTTATCAAGCCATACTTCCTATTAATAATAATTACTAGAAACAATGTAGAACATTCAAGGGCTCAGCCTCGTAGATTATTAGCTGAAAAAAAGCAGAATCTCTACCTTAAGTTGCTGCTAGAAAACTCCTGACTTGTTTTTTACTTTAAGCCTTGCTACACTGACCATAAGATATAAATAGGCTGGCCAGTTTAGTGCAGTCAGTGACAAAGGTGACATTTGTTTGATTTTCACAGCTTATCTCAACAAAAAGGAGTTTCATAGTTAATTAATTGCACCTGTAACCTTTTCAATCAATTTAATTGATTTCAGATGACTTGACAATAATCCTTCCTAGCAATTAATTAAAATAGCTAGTATATGTACACTTGTAGTTAATATATTCACGTAGATACACATATATAACACAGCAAACAGGGTTTCCCACATAGCATAGTAATTTGAGCTTAACTATGATGTACTCATTATGGATGGTGCAATGATAGAATAATAGCTAACCTCAGGTATTGTAATCATTGACTGTTCTTTTTTTCAATTCTATTGCTTCCTATTATACATGTACATTGTAAGTACAAGGGAAGAGATGATCACCATTAAACAGTCTAGCATGACATACCTTCTCTTTGCTACTGATAGCATCCCTTAGTCTATCTTCAGCTTCTTCAAGTATAATATGAGAAATAACCTATAAAAATACATGTAAATTCTTAAGTGCTTAAAATTGCACTTGTATTATGATAAAAAAATTAAACTGACTTCTGTATGCTGTAATAATAAGTCTTGATCCTTTACTTTTAGTTCCTATACAAAACAATATTTGTAAAACAATATTTAACTTTTTATATTATGTACCTTTTGTTCAACATCTTGTTTCTTCCATAATGTTAAATTGCCAATAGTCAGTTTCTTTAATCCTTGTCCCATTAGTATATGAATATTCTCTATCATCCTCAATATAGTAAACCCAACATCAGAGAAAGGAAAGGAGCAAGTGACAGATATTGATTTGTGAGGCTCTATATACTCAATCCTTAATAGTTTACCAGATACTTTTGCAAGGAGCTCCTTAATATCTTTGAGTAAATGTTCCTCAGGTTTCCAGTCAAATACAAGAGTAACTGTTTCACATTGAAGATGAGGAATGGAAGCAAATCTTTCCTTCAAACAAAGACTGATAGAAAGTGACTTGCAGAATTCCATTAACTCTGTTCTATATGTTTCAATGCATTCCTTGGCCTCAGTGATCTCCATTTCTTCCACTACCACAACACTATGAAGGAGTTCAATATCAGTCAGTGAGCACTCATCTTGAA